GCCCCATTGCCAAATGCAAATTGTTCTATATTAGCATCTGGGATGCTGCCAAGATGAAAGAGTACAGCAGTTGTATTGAACTATGTTTGCAAAAGATTTCATATCTTTATCCTTTAACATACGAAAAATATAAAATCGTTCTTAGGACATGAAATTATTTCATAATCAGTTAGTCTTACACATTCACTTTATTTTCACAAAATTTGTTCAATATTCATTCAGCTTGTAGGTGTGTGCACCTTATGAAGCCAACCTTCCTCATAGGTAGATGCCTTATAAACAGGGCCCACATATGTTCTGGAATTCCAGAACTGTGGAACTCTCCCCTTGCTGACTAACTGTGCTCTCAAATGTAAGCTCTCTCTTAAAAGAAACATTATATGTTCCTAGCACTTAGAACTGCAAATAAATATTAAATGAATGTTACCAATGTTGTGTTGTCTGCTGATAGACTACAACAATAGCTTTGGGAGAGGTGTGAATTGTTAAATCTTTAGGTTAACTATTTCACTGTTGATCAGGAACATCCATTTAATGTATTTATCCTACATTCCAAAATATATATTTTTAATCATAAAGACAAGCAAATATATGGTTCCTCCTTGAAGAGCATATAATCAAACTACTTCCTGTTCCTTCTTTCATTATTTTGTGCACTTGCGTACCAGAGACATTTAGCTCACTGCTCAAAAACCAGAACTCACTTGTCTAGATTGACTAAAACACAGAATAACTTCCCAATAAATCTGATGCAGTGTTTCCTCTAAAAGAGACCATTTAAGACCAGGGCCAGCTCTGCCTTTTTGGCTGCCCCAAGCAAAAAAAAAAAAAAAAAAAAAAAAAAACCTGCGACGCAGCTGGAGAGCGGGTGCAGGGGGACCAGCGGGGGAGGGGGTGGGCGGGAGAGAGAGAAGGGGGCGGCCAGGGCTACAGCAGGGGCGCTGCCACGCGGCCCCTCCCGCTGTGCCGCCTCCTGCCGCGAGGGCTCCGCTCCAGTCGGCAGGGAGGGAAGGAAGAGGACTGCCCTGCAGGGCGCTCTGGTTCTCTGTGCTGCCCTAGGATTGGGCAGAATGCCCCCCCCCCCAACAATCTGCAGCCCCAAGCACCAGCTTGCTCAGCTGGTGCCTGGAGCCAGCCCGGTTTAAGACTAACAGTTAGGCTAAGTGACTTACCTAAAACCAGACTTCTCCCTCACTGAGCCCCAAATACCCCTGTTCATCATCTGCATTTAAAAAACATCTTCCCATTTAAGAACCATACAGTGCTTTACAGACAGTAATAAATTCAGCTTCATTCACCCCCTCCCCCCCCGTATGTTATGCATTATCCTCATTTTATAGATGGGCAAGTTCTTTAATCTTTGTGTGCCTCAAATTTTAAGGTCACCTAGTGAGTTAGTGGGAAAGCCAGAAACAGAACTCAGATCTCTTCATGTAAAAAACACAAGATCTGGGAGCCATTAGACCATGTTCCCTTCCAATATTGCAAGCTTTAGACAGAATTATACTAGTAAATGTATTATTACTTTATGAGCTTGCTTGCCTTTTGTATTCTAAATAGATTTAATTTTTGTGGCTCAGTATAGAAGTTCTATGATTAAAAGTTTCTCCAGTTCAAAGTTGATTATCACTGAGTTACATATGTACTTTCAACTAATTAAGGGAACCACATCATGAGTGGGCTTTTATCTAGGAACTAGACACTTTATAAAGTACTGGACTTTTCAAAACAGGAAGAAAGATACTTAATGGATTGATTAATTTTGAAGAAGAGTCAACAATACTGAGAAGATAGATTTGAGCAACCAGATTTGAAATTTAATGTAAATCTAATATTCTAAAGAGAATACCAAAAGAGATCCATTCTTTCAGTTTTTCCAACACTTCCATGCTCACTTTTCTTTTCCCGCTGCTGCCACTCTCTTTTCTTAGGTCACGTCTACACTAGCACTTATGTCGGCATAGCACTATGTCAGCAGGAGACGCTCTCCCGCCAACATAGCTATCACCACTCGTTGAGCTGGTTTTATTTTGTCATTGGGAGAGCTCTCTCCCGTCGACATAACACGGCTACACAAGCGATCTTACAGCAGCACAGCTATATCGGTACAGCTGTGCTGCTGTAAACTTGTAAGTGTAGACATGGCCTCAGTGGCATTCCTTTTTAGCAGAGAAGTGAGCAATGATGCCACCCCCCCACATCCAAAAGCAACCAGTTTGCCACCGTCAGCAACCACTCTGTTGTTTAAAAATAGAAATCAATCTCAAAATGTGATTTGGCAAACAGCAGCTTAAACGTTCAGTAGTAGTTCTCTTTCCCTTCTTCACCATTTGCTATTTGTCCTTCCTAAAATGCACAACATGAAAAGAAACATCTCAAACAGCTCATATATGATTAACAACTAGACAATAAAGAATATCACGTCATATAAATTTTAACACAAATCCAGTGTGTGAATAACAATCTTCTTACTAAGAGTGCTCTTTGTATAACCAGCTCCAGGAATGTTGTGATGTTTCAAACAGTTGTCTTCATTTTCTGATAAGGCTACTGTGACTTTTCAGGGAGTCACCAAGAGGCCTTGCCAGAAGTTAAGGCAACAACAGCTTCCTCCCAACATCTGTCATAACTGAAAAACCAATGCCTTTACATTTCTTACAATCTGCATCAGCTTATTCAACATGGTTAGTTCTCACATGTTACATACCTGCCAAACAAATGGCACAGAAGATTCTGAAAATTCTAGAGAAATGTTTCCCAAACTTGGGACACCGCTTGTGTAGGGAAAGCCCCTGGTGGGCTGGGCCGGTTTGTTTACCTGCCCCGTCCGCAGGTCCGACTGATCGCAGCTCCCACTGGCCGCGGTTTGCTGCTCCAGGCCAATGGGAGCTGCTGGAAGCGGCACGGGTCGAGGGACGTACTGGCCGCCACTTCCAGCAGCTCCCATTGGCCTGGAGCAGCGAACCGCGGCCAGTGGGAGCCGCGATCGGCCGGATTGCGGACACAGCAGGTAAACAAACCGGCCCCGCCCGCCAGGGGTTTTCCCTACACAAGTGGCGTCCCAAGTTTGGGAAACACTCTTCTAGAGCATAGTAGGGCATTTTCTACACTAAAGACATTTTGCATACTAAACACAATAAAAAGATCACAGGACTTAAGGTCCACTGCAATAAGGCTCAGGACAATAATAATGCATTTGATGCAGGGAAGAAGACCTCTGTTCTTCGAAGAACTCATCTGAATCTTTGGTACTTTCCCTTCCGCACAGGAACTATGAAATGGCATGGTGAGACAACAAGAAGGGGACCAGAAAGATGAGGAGAGTGAAAGAGATACCCAAGACTATCATTATAAAGCAGACTAGAGGGAAATCTCACACTGCCAAAACTTTGTATTTTTTCTGTGATTAAAGAAAAGGCTCCATTCTCCAGAGATCTCAATTTGGTAATTCTATCATCACTAAAAGATTTAGAAAATCACGTTTTTTGTTAAATATTTTACTGTGTGACAGGAAGGGCAGGTCACCCTTCAGTACTGACACATCTGTTGCAATATAACAGAAAATGCATTTTACAAAGTGAGTAAAAAGAACTGAAATGGGGAAACATGCATGGAGAGAAATCTACTTTCTAACACCACTCATAATGCCAACTGATAAGTTACATCACTCCTATTTGCTAGAGATACTGATGCACATAACAGGTACCACCACCATTTAAGGTCCAAGTTTCTGCAGACTCCCTCTCTTCTCAATGAGCCTTTCAAATGTATTTAATGTTATTCTTAACAAGCATTCAGAGTATAACAGTAAATATATGTATATTAGTTTAAAAGAAGAAAGATTCTAATATGCAATTAGTTAGCCAACTAGATGGTTTTATATCACAGCTTCAGAGTTCTTCTATAGAACAGACAAAATGTATTGTTCATACAAGCAAAATCATCAAGATATTAACTGTAGAGGGTCCCTTTCTTGTTGGTCACTTTCACAAAATCCAAAGATTCATCAAAAAGACAATGCATTTCATTTTGTCATCCCAAGGACAATGGGACTTCAATGATATTTAACTGTTTGTCAGTGGGGATGAGTTTGGAAGCTTTATAAATGAAAACAGAGACAGACTAACATTTCTACTGTCATCAATAAAGCAGTTCAAAGGCAGTGTCAGTAAGATATAGTGATTGATTTCACAGTTCATTGGTCCAGACACGGTTTGTAAACCACTGACCCAAAAACACAAAGGATTGCTCAGGGCCTCTTTAATAGGGTATGTCAACTGAAGAGACTTACAGACTGTTATACAATGGAAATCTATTGGAAACCAAAGGGTGGTCTGACAATGTTTCCTAAAAGTCTTTTAAAGAATTTATTTTAAACAAGCCATATTAACCTAGTTAACTGAACAGTGGTCAGACAATGCTAAATTAGCAAACTTTTCTAATTCCTCTCCCTCCTCCCTGGGACCATAATATGTAGTTGTCTCCCCTTATCACAGCACTACTGTACAGCTACTAAAAGCTTGCTAGGAAACTGCCATCAGTATCTAATTACAGCACAGCTAATTGATTTTCAAAAACACATGTATAGGTTTGAAGTCAAACGAATTAAATTAACCAGCAAAAGTCAAACATTTTAAAAGTGCTAAAGATCCAATAGCTAATTCAAAAGCTTTAATACAGATTCAAAATTGACATCCTAGTACTAAGATGCTAGTAAGACTGGACTGCTTCAGATCTTCAGTGCAGAAAGATCCTTATTTAACGTTACAACTATCACCTCCCCTCAACTATTATTGATACTTAAGATGGCTGGATTCTAGTGTGCACATTCCAAAATTGTACAGCAAAAGAAGCATCTCAATGCATCAATTAACTTTACTAGGGTGTGTCCATTATTAATGGAGCTTTCCTAGTAAATGTTTCAGCCACTTTAGTGGTACCTACGCTAGTCCTTTTTCCCCAAAACAACCCCCCCCAAAACAAACAAACAACCAACCAACCTTTCACTGGGTTCTGCTTCATCACCAGGAATGTTTAAATAGACAGGGCTCCTGCAGCAGCTAGCAACCTGCACAGAGCAAGTGTAAATAACACTATAGTGAAAACACCCACCAGAAATGCTTTGTCTACACTAGCATTTCACACGGTTGATACTATCCGTAGTGCTAACTTGGTGTTATCAGTTGTAGGAAATATTAAGAGAGTTGGGGGGAAAAGCTATAAAAAAAATAAACCCACCCCAGAATGGATCCCTCATGGAAAACCACATTTTCATTATAAAGATCTACCATGCAGTTAATGAATTTCATGTATGGAAGCCTCAAGTCAGTTACAAACTCCTCATAGAGCCCTCCACTATCTGTTCACTGCTTATTCTCTTCCCCCACTATTTTTACATTTGAAAGAGGAGACAAATATAGAAACTTTGCCTACTGAGTCTCATTTCCAGAAACCTAGACCCAAACTAACAGTAAAGCAACAAGCTCAAGGGCTCCTGTATATTCCTCTCAAGATGCACATACTGTGCTTTTGTAGCAGACTGCAACTGCACATTTAAAATTAAAACATGGCAGAGCAAAGGCAAAATAAACGCTAGTTTAACAGTAGGGTTGCCAACTTTCTACTTGCACAAAACCAAACACCCTTGCCTTTCCCCCTGCTCCTTCTGTCCTCCGAGTCCCCGCCTCTGCCCAGTCCCTTATCCAAGGCCCCGCCTCTGCTCACTACATCCCCCTTCTTCCCCTGTCACTCACTCTCCCCACCCTCACACACTTGCTCATTTTCACCAGGCTGGCTCAGGGGGTTGGGTTGCAGGAAAGAATGAGGGCTCCAGCTGTGGGTGCGGGATCTGGGGTGGGGCCAGAAATGAGGAGTTCAGGGTGCAGGAGGGGACTCCAGGCTGAGGCAGTGGGTTGGGGTGCGGGAGAGGGTGAGGGCTCCGGCTGGGGGTGCAGGCTCTGGGGTGGGGCCAGGGATGAGGGGTTTTGGGTGCAGGAGAGGGCTCTGGCCTGAGGCAAGGGGCTGGGTTGTGGGAGGGGGTACGGGCTCTGGGCTGGGGGTGTGGGTTTTGGGGTGGGACCATAAATTAGGGGTTCAGGAGTGGGCTCCAGGCTGGGGCAGGGGGTTGGGGTGTGTGGGGGGGGTGAGGGCTCCAGTTGGAGGTGTGGGCTCTGGTGTGGAGCCAGGGATGAGGGATTTGGGGTGCAGGAGGGGGCTCCAGCTTGGGGTTCAGACTCTGGGGTGGGGCTGGGGATGAGATGTTTGGGGTATAGGAGGGTGCTCCAGGCTGGAACTGAGGGGTTCAGAGGGTGGATCAGGGCGGGGGCATGGGAGGGAGTCAGAGGTGCAGGCTCTGGGCAGCACTTACCTCAAGCAGCTCCTGGAAGCAGTGGCATGTCCCCCCTCTGGCTCCTACGTGGAGGCAGGGCCAGGCAGCTCTGTGCGCTGCCCCATTCGCAGGCGCTGCCCCTGCAGCTCCCGGCCAATGGGAGCTGCGGAGCCAGTGCTTGGGGGGAGGCAGTGTGCAGAGCCCCCTGGCTTCCCCTACACATAGGAGCCGGAAGGGGAACAGGCAGCTACTTCCGGGAGCCGTGCAGAGCCACAGCAGGCAGGGAGTCTGCTTTAGCTCCGCTGTACCACCGACCAGATTTAACAGCCCGGTCAAGGATGCTGACCGGAGCCGCCAAGGTCCCTTTTCAACCTGGAATTCCAGTCAAAAACCAGACACCTGGCAACCCTATTTAACACCCTTATCATAAAAATCAACAATTATTCCAAATGTCTAAAAAAATATTTTACATATGATTGCATTACACTGTAACACAAATTATAATACAGAAGACGTTATAATATAGAGGAGCAATACAGCACAATTCAAGACATGTTTTTTCAGTATATTAAAGGTGCAAAACTAAGGTCCCAATCCTGCAAAAATATATTGATATAATTTTAATCATGGAAGTTATGTCTGATTTCGATGGGATTTCTCACATGCTTAAGGTTAAGCACATTTGCAAGTCTTTACCAGATTGGAGGCTATTCTGGTCCTGTATCATTTACGTTCTAATAAGTGTGTCATTAAGGGGGAAAATCAGGGGGGATGTTTCAAGCTAGGAAGTTATTTAACACTATTCTGTTTTTTTCCACTCTTAAAAAGCACTAAGACTAAAATGTTGCTTTACATGTTAATCTTTTTTTTTTTCCAATGCTCACTTGAAGAGTTAGTATTGCTGAAAGAATTAGAAGCTGTGAGGTAAAATAATCATTGAGATGCAACATTGCCATAACCCCTCTAAACGAAGCAGTGGAAAGGAGTTTTCCGCAAAAAGGGGTCTGCACAGGTCCTCTTTCTTACATGATGAGAACAAATCCTGTCTGCTATTTTAAATTTCCATCATACACTGCCCACCTAACATGCAGTCTTTTTGACATTAGTTGATGGCTGTATTGCCAACCCCAGAAGTTCAAAAATCATGAGGCAGATTCTCCCCTTCCCACTTCCACCCCTCAAAATGATGAGATATTTTATTTTAAATAGTGCTTTTGGGGCCAGAGATTAAACCACATTTTTAGACCGTCTTTTGAATTTTGAAGTCCCCCTGCCCACTCCCAATGTGTCTGAGACAATAAGGGTGTACAACAGAGAGTAACATGATTTTGGCCCCTGCTACAAGAGCCCCACTGAAGGATTCAAACGAGACATGGCCCCATTGTGCTAGGCCCTTTGCAAACACATAGGTACAAGACAGTCCATATAGTAGAAAGTATGGTGATGAGTTTGTGGTATGGGAATTAGAAACGAGAAACTACATTTATCTCAAATAGAGTATACCAAAAATCCATTGGATGGAAACAACTTTTAAACCACTGTTGAGCTGGGCAGGATTCAAACTGGTGACAAGTGAAAGGCTCCATAGATTATTAGCAATGCCCTGAAGCATCCAGTTCTGAACAAGTGTTACTGTTGCACCTTTGCAAATGAAGCTTCCTTTCTGGAAAGATAATGTTCATTAAATCAAGCTCTAACCTTTTTGAAGCAGATAATGAAAGGGTCTTCCACTCTGGATTTACAGGAAAGTCTCCAACACACTGCTCTCAAGAGATGGACACTGAGGGCTTGTCTACACAGTGGGATAATGTGCACTAGAGGGTATGATTTCTAAAGCTCAACAACATGTTGCCCATTAACTGGTCAGTGTGAACCCTGCAGGTGTGCTCTTAAGGTCCCCTAGTGCACTTAAACTTAGTACTGCTTCAAACAGCATTACTTTAAAGTGCACTAGGGAAGTTTTATTGTGCACCAGCAGAGTCTACATGGACTAATAAATGTACAACACATTAGTGTACTTTAGAAATCACACCACTGTATTGCACATTATTGCATTGTGTAGACAAGCCATAAATCTGCCATATCCCTATTATTAAAATGGACAACTCATCAAATACAAATACTAAAAAAGCATCAGTAAGACAAATATTAGCACAATGTGACACGTTGGGCCTCTTGGGAAGTCACCTGATGTGCTGAGATACCACTGAGTCTACCTGTTCTGCCAGAATGGGTCCCCTTTTACCTGTCTTGCTGAGCCAGGCTCTTAAAACCTCCTCTAACACACACACAGGCAGGACCACACCCAGCTACAGATCAGCTCTGGGAAGACTCAGCTTAAGGGACTTGCTCCAGCACTCAGATGTCCACCTCCACCTGAGTACAGACCTAAAGATATAATATATTTGCCTCTTCCCTCAACATGGAAGAGGGTATGCACAATTTCTCACCCCTCTCAAATTAGAAATAACAGAAACCGGGTTATATTATAAACTACAAATACATTTATTAACTATAACAGGTGTATTTTAAGTAGATACAGTGGTAGCAGACAGAACAAGGCAGATTTCTAAGAAAATAAAACAGAGCACACAAACTAAGCTTAATAGACTAAAGAAACTGGTTACATGCAAGTTCTCACCCTAAATGTGGTTCTAATAATCTTCTTCCCAGGCCAGATGCCCTTCCAGCCTGGGCCCAGTTCTTTCCCCCTGTTCAGTCTTAGTTGTTTCCAGCAGTCATCTTGGGTTGGGTAGCAGGGAAGAACTGACCACCTCGGATTACCGCACTCCCCTCCCTTAAATAGGATTTGCATAAGGCGGGAGTCCTTTGTTTCCTAGTTTGACCCTCCTTCCCTTACAGTGGAAAGTTACAAGTCGTCCCAGGTAATGTTTTAGTATCAGGTGACAAGGCCACCTGATGCTGTAGGGCCCTTTTAGCCATTCTTCACAGGCTGACCCACAGGTTCACAGGAAGACTAAGCTCTTTTACAGTCCATTGTCCTTGTTGATGGGCCATCCGCCCTGTCTGGCTTTTCCATTGTTGTACCTGAAGTGTTGGCAGTGGGCATCACCCAAAGTAGCATAGTTGAAATACAGATATATAGTCAATATTCCTAATTTCAGATACAGAAATGATACATGCATACAAATAGGATAATCACATTCAGTGAATCATAACCTTTCCAATTATCTCATCTGAGCCATCTTGCATAAAGTATATCTCAGTTATGTCATATTCATATCATAAGAATATTTTCAGAAAGAATATGGAATGACATGTCACATACAACATTCAAATTCAATTCTACATATAATATTTCACAGCATAAAATAATTCCAATGATTACTCCAAAGTCTCTGCTGGCTGACAAAATCCAGGAAGCATGACTTCAGTGGTTAGACAGCTACAAAGGGTGAATGAAGAGGACCTGGTGAAGATAGCTTGGCATGAGACAGTGGTAGGAAAGAGATTCTGAGGAAAGCCAAGGAAGCAAAGGGTGGATTGTATCAAAGATGATGGTAAGCAGGTGGACCTTAGTGCTCCCGCAGATAGACAAAGATGGTGGATGCTTGCATGATGACCCTTGACCTCAGATGATGTGATAAGGGGAAGAAGATTACTCCAGGGTCCTTACACTAACATTTATGCATGTATTTCTTTAACCCCATATGGGTTCATCAGGCAGGGTTTGAACCCACAACTTTCAGATCCACAGCACCGACCTCTTATACTTCCATTATAGGAGTAAGTAGTGATGGGAAAACATGCTGTAATTCTCTATGAACACCAGCTCATGCATGGGGAAACACCACATACTTTGCCATTGGGTTACACAAGTATTGGTGAGACAGCAATAGCTGGGCATCATGATTCATGGGTTCTGTTCCTGGCTCTGGGAGTATATTGTGGTCTTAGTGGTTGTAGGCAGCACAGCCAAATGTAACAATGCTTCTGTTTAGGGCATGTGGGGACCTGAACTTAGCACCTGAGGATATAAAAACATAAGCCTTTACCACTTGAACTAATGAACCAAATGGCTTAGCATGGAAGTAGCAGCAGAGAAAAAAAACCTCTATATGTGGCCTAATTGCTCAAGGATGACACAAAGAACCACACTTTTTAGGGTGCGTTACACAGGTACCTAATTTAATGTACTCTTTCCAAAAGACTGTGTTGCAATGAGACTGTAATCAGAGATCCCAGCTTTGCCTGAAGTGATCTTATGCAAGCTCTCTGTTATTTTATCTGGGAAAGTGGTGAATGATAGTTACTCCCTCCTTCTCCCAAGGTATTGCCAAGTTGTTAAAAGCAAAGAGCTGGAGCTAGAACTCATGGTAACTGAGCTTGCAGCTTTCACTAGGCTAGGTATCTATTTAATGCATCTATATTTGCATTATCATAGAATCTCAGTTTTTAATATATTTATTCTTCCAACACCCCGGTGACATAAGGAAGTACTATTATCCCCATTTTACAGATGGGAAACAGAGGCACAAGGGAGACTAAGTGACTTGCACAAAATCGCTCAGGAAGTCTGTGGCAGATCAAATTCACTCTTCCAAGTGTCAGGCTACAGTCCTAAACACTGGCTCATCCTTCTTTTCAGGATATTGTATGCGGGTGTCTGCCTCTCTTGCTCTGGTTTTGCTTCCAAAAATCATATGAAGACTGCAGATTTGTATATTATCATGACACTGCCTGCAGCAGTGGCCAGTTATTTGTGAGTCAGACCAACAGACACTAGACAGGATAACAAAAAAAGAAGCCCAAATGGTTAGTCTCCAAAGCACTGAGCAGGAATCTCATCCCTAGCATTTGTCCCTTCAGGTAATTTTTATCATTACAGTGGTAAATGAAGCCCAATCTTACATTGGGGCCTTATTCTGGTAGATACCATCAGTGCACATTGTAAGAGACAATCCTTGCCCTGAAGATTTTAGAGTCTAAACAGACCACAGGCAAGTAGTGGAAGAAAATAATTTTTATCCCGTTTTGCAGGGGGTTTTGAATTTAAGCACAAAGAAATTAAGTGACTTGTCTAAGATCACACCAGAAGTCTGTGGCAGAAAAGGAATTGAACCCAGTCCCCATTACGTTAATCACAAGTTGTTATTCTCCTCCCAGGTCAGGTTTGAGGCATACTGGCAAGACACTGCAGGGAACTCTCTCTACCATTATGTGTACCATATTGCTCTATAGATAAAGATGGCTTCATTCTACTATACAGACAACAAGAATTAACCATATATTTCAGCCTGGAACTTTAACAATAACATTCATTAAAAGAAAAAAACGTATTAACAACAGCAGCCTCCAACAGACTATTGCAGTAAGATATACATGCAAGACTACAGTACTTGAACTCAAGTACATTTTTCTTTCTGAGTGCACATGAAGGCAATTGCATTAGGAGAAGAGCCCATGTAATAAAAGTCTCCCCTTATAATCAATGGTTAAAACGGATTCTATTTTCTCCATATTATCACAAATGTAGATTTTGAGAAAGATGGAACACTTGTTGATCTTTGGGTCTGATAATAATAATCAAGGTTTAAAATATGTTCTGACATACACCTCTACCCCGATATAACGCGACCTGATATAACACAAATTCTGATATAACACAGTAAAGCAGTGCTCCGGGGGGGCGGGGCTGCGCACTCCGGCAGATCAAAGCAAGTTTGATATAACGCGGTTTCACCTATAACGCGGTAAGATTTTTTGACTGCCGAGGACAGCGTTATATCGAGTTAGACGTGTATATGGTCATTCTACACCTATTTCAATATCAACAAAGATACTGAAACCTCAGAGCCCCACTTCAACTATAGAATTAAAAATTACAGGCTACCTTTCACAAATATGAAAATGTACCGCACTTTATAGAAAATAATGTTTTATTCATTTTTAAAGAACAAACATGTATTCAAGTTATTTTGAAAATCCTCTCCGATCTGAATTACCAGAAATGTGGACACCAAAAATGTGTACTCCAGAGTAATTTATTAACCATCAATGAAACTTCAACACTCTTCATCATTTTGCAGACACTGATCCCAACAAATTTAATCCATACATAAGAAAGACTGTAAAGAATATTTGCAATAATGATTACAAGTACACACAAAATAATTGAAGTTCTAAGAATCAACAGAAGTCGTACGGCCTTGGTCTAAAATATCCAGTAAGCCAGAGGCAATCTTTCACTCGCAACCCATGAGACTTTCAGCATGTGGACCAAAAGGGAAACAATCCCTTTTGAAGCCTCTCTTCCCCACATCCCAAAAAGGTCTTACAGCCAAAATCCTGATTTTAGCTTTACTTATAACATTGGCAGAGGCGGATTTACAGTAAAACACAGGGTGCCCTGGCATGACACCCCCCGCCCCCAACGACAGGGGGTCCCAGGGCCAGGCAGCTGCGGGGGCAGAAGCTTGGTCCTGCTGGCTCCTGGGGCTCTGCACCCAACAGCAGCCAAACTCCCTCCTCCCCCGCCTCTACCCCTGAGCGTGCCGCGTTCCCACCCCTCCCCCTCAGAGCTTCCTCCACCACCAAACAGCTGTTTACCGGTGCTCAGGTCGCTCTGGGAAGGAGGGAGAGGAGCGGGGCCGCAGTGCGCTCGGGGGAGAGGCAGAAAAGAGGTGGGGGCGGAGCTTTGGGGAAGGGGGTGGAATCAGGGTGTGGCAAAGTAAAGACGGGGCCCCTGCATTCCCCCTACACATACCCCCCTGAGCCCCTGCTGTGAGCCACTAAGGGCAGGGGGCTGGGGTGGGGCAGGGAGCACCCCCATGACCCCAGCCCACACCCCCAGCCCTGACGCTTGCACCCCCTCACACACACCCATTCCCCCCCCCCCGACTCCTGCACCCTCCTACATCCTCACCCTGAGCACCAAACGGGTGCTCTGCACAGCCCCCTCCACATGCCCACCTGCACCCCTCGCACCAGGTAAGCGCTCCACACTCCAACCCCTGCCCCAACACCAAGCCTGCTCCTGCATCCTAACTCCTGGCCAGACCCTGCACCCCAACCCCCAGCCTGCTCCTGTACCCCCAGCCCTGACTCCTGCATGCCCCTCACACACCCGCAGCCCTCCCTGACTCCTGCACCCTCTCACACACTCCCAGCCCTGACTCCTCCACCCCACCACACATCCCCACCTGCACCCTTCATACCAAATGGGAGCTGCTTCAGGTAAGCGCTTCACACTCCAACCCCTGCCCCAGCCCTGAGCCACCCTAACTCCCGGCCAGACCCTGTACTCCAACCCCAGCCTGCTCCTGCACCCTAACCTCCTCCCAGACTCTGCACCCCCAGCCCTGAACCCTGTCCAGCACCTCTGGGTGGCCAGACCCCACACCCCAATGTTTTTTTATATAAAGCGCTCTTATCCAAAGCCCTTTACAATAGTTAGCTAACGGTACAAACAATATTTGGAAAGATCATTAAGTGGTCCACTGAGACCCTCAGCAATTTTCAAGTCGTCTGTGGAAAAATAAGTTAGACTACAAAAACAATCAAGGTACCTCACTTTGTTTTAATTTACTTCCTATTACTTATAGGAAGAGGATGAAGAAAAAAAGAATGAAAACGGTGGCGGGGCAGGGAGAAGGGAGATAAGAGAGAATGTTATTTTTCTTGGCTGGGTCCCAAGGAGGGGTCCCAAGGAGGGCCCCCAAAAATGAAGCTGAGCACAGGGCCCTACTAACTCTAAATCTGCCACTGAACATTGGATATTTCAACCATCTTATTTTATACATGAGCCTCTGTCTCACGGGCCAAGGATACCATGAACTGTGATTCAATAGCAATAAATTAGACAAAAAACCCTAATCAGAGCAAAAGCACAATTAGTATGCATGTTGATGAAAATGCAAAGTAATTTATTGAAAATAGTTTTTATCCTTTGTGCTACTACATTTTTTCATGCATTCTTAAGCTTTTGGTGCAGTAAATTCCAAGTAAATATTTAGAAATCTGAAACTACTAGGAACAAACACGTCTTTTCTACTCAGAACAGCAGATATTTAGAAAGTCTCTTGGGGAATACAGTTCTTCAAAATTCAGAAGTATAGAAGTAGACAGCAAAACATCCCAAGTTTTACAGGATATCAATGAAAGAAATATTCCCATATGCTTAAAACTATCAAAGCATTAAGATTATGTAATGAACAGCACAAAGCCTGGGAGAATTATTCCTTTAAAAAAATATGCAAAAAAAATAATAATTTATTCCAACATGCCTTAATTGGGCAGACAAAACAACACTTCCCCTATTTTCACATTGTATATTGTTTATCCAAAATATATGTTTATCACAGATCCCTGTATCCACAATTAAACTTGTCCTTTAGGGATGGAATAAGCTGCACAGTAGCATTTTTAAGATAATTACCTTTCTAATGAGAATCTTTCCTTCTCTTCTCCCCTGAAAAGAGAACAAAAACTTGTATTTCAGTATATTTTCCTTTACTCAGACTAAATTTATAGCATTTCAGACAACACACTTGCATTAAACTTCAAGCAAAGAGACACACCACTTTCTCTCTTTGTCTTTGAATATTTCCTTGCTTTTGACAGGCAGAGTCATTTTCACCCAAGGATCCAAAACTGAAATATCACTGCTACACACAACTACCAGTCATTATGTGCTCATTACCAGCCTAGGGAAGGATCCTTATGTAATTGTGATTGTCTGCTCATATTTTTAAGCTTGTCACCCACAATTAACCAGTTTGACACACACACACACACACCCCCATGGTCATAAATACCATGGGAAACCAATAATTCCCAGACTCACTGGTGATAATTGCAGGTGGTGTGCCTTGCTTGTACTTTTAACGCTAGTCAGAAAGAATTTCAGAACTCCTTAAAAATATTGTAAAAGTGAGCAAGATATTTTGCTGTCCATCTCCAAAAGCAATGTAGGTGCCTATATATAGGACCTCATGCAGAATCACTACTCCTTAAAAGAATATACTTCCTGTGATGATGAAGATGAGGGGAACAAAGTGTCGTGGGGAGATAAATCAAGGCGTTTAAAATGAATACCAACTAAAGCGCACTGATTTTAGATACCAAAGTAACTTTAGAAATTCCTAAAAATAGACAGATACATAGCCAATTAGAAATTAAGTGAAGGTAGATTTCTGATTATGTGGATAAAAAGCAAAGAAAAAAAAATCTTGGATGACAATTGGAGATGTTCCCACCAGACCAGTTTTGAAACAAGACTTTTTTTTTTTTAAGATAACCATTAAAAACTGATAAATTGAAGAGACTGACATTTGATTGCAATGAAATTGATTTGAATGATTTAGAATCAATTTAACTTATGCATATTAGTTAATTTTGAAAAAGAACATATCCTACTCTGGAGAAATTGCCTTTGATGTCATGCTGCTGTAACACTAATGCCCACCATTCTATAATGAGTGCACTAAAAATGGAACCCTATCGTGACTTTTGGAAGAGTGCAGCACTCTGTTGCTTATCTACTGATACTTATTTTTAATCATTTCACTTGCACAATAAATCTTTCATACATGACTCAGCCATTTGTGACTACACTGTCACTGCAATTACAAAAGCCAGCACAATTTTCTTATCTTTTAATAGATTTTTTCCCCCTTCTTTCTTTTTGTGCTAGCAATTTGATCCAAATTAAAAAAAAAAAAAGGAGCAAACTAACTGTGGTAACCAGTGTAATTAAAAATAAATAAATCAGAAAGTATTACATGTATATCACTGCGTCAATGGCTGTTTGCTGAATTGATAGCCCTCTTCCTAAATAATGCCTGGCACCGAAGATATCCTTGTGATGAAATAATGTTATGTGCTTTCTTCTATATTCCACAGATTTTTATTTTGTTTAGATGTTCACAACTTCATCCTATACAATTCCATATCAAGACATTTAGATGTCAGCTTTGTACATAGCTAGGTTATGTTGTGCAATAAGCAGGCAATTGCAGGAACTCACAACATTAGAAACAATAAAAGGCAATGAAATTTTAAAAAGCTTATGTGAAACCTCTGCCTTTCTCTCATTTTTAAATTATGCTGCTTTTTTGGGTGGGGACCATTTGTGTTTCATCTTTATATTGTGATTTCACATTTGAATTATATTATATTTATGCATCTCCTCGAGTGCTCTGGCAGTAGGGGAGGAATGCTTTATAACATTATTATTTAGTATTTTTCATTATCTCCTCTTTATAGGAACATACAGATTGTAGACCATACAGAGCATTTGGATTGTGCTGGTTATCCATTTCAACATGTTTCAAGACAATATTGCTCCTTAATCTGCAAATTTAGCTTCAAAAGATCTCAGTGTTGGTTGTTATCTCTATCATTCAGCAATAGCTCTGTTGATTTACACTGATAAAGATAATGTAAAATATAAGCAGTAAAATATAAGCAGTGAAGTCCCCCTGCAAAAGACAGAGAAGGGGAAAGACTGCAATGTTTTCACCATTACACAATAAAGAGCTTGTTAATTGCTTGTAAAATAAACAACAGGGTGGATACTGGGTAATTTGATTTTTAAACTGCACCACTTCTTGCTGTTTACAGTATTAATCAACTAAGATTTGAAATGTAGCATTTAAAGAATGTATTCACTAAATACCATACAAATGCACAAGGATAACACCAATGAGAAAAGCAACTGATTCAGCTATTCCCACTGAAAGTGATTGCGCAAACAGAAATGATCAGATACTTCTCACATTCCAACAAGCCAAAAAAAAACCCCAAACAATTACAAGGAACACAACACGAACTTACCATGGCTAAAGCTCCACTGAAGCTAAGGAATCTGTCTAAAACCTTTTCAATTTTACCTTAAAGCTGTCGCAGAAGGTTTTTCATGGCAACTGTTACTAACAGTATCTCTCTATCTAAGGCTAAGCATGAGTACTCTGAATGCTACAGAATAGCATTCTTTATGGTGCAGCACCTTATTAACAATTCTCATAAAAGAATAACCCTTGAGAGAAATTCTCTCCTACTCTAAGAAGATATATAGAGCTAACTTTTAAGAAACCATGAACACAACCACCACCCACAAACCAACAGGTTATTGGAGTGAGATGATAATGCTGATTTAGCTACCCCCACCAATGAAGATTACAGAGAAATAATGAAATGCACTTTAAGCTCTGCACGTTTCAGTCAGCCTCTCTTGATAAGAATATTACCTTAATTTTACAAGAAGGTCTTACCAATAGGAACTCATAGGTGCTGGTACACTTCAGGCTCCAGTGGGCTTTGCCCTAACACAGTGGGTCTCAAACTTTTGTACTGGTGACCCCTTTCACACAACAAGCCTCTGAGTGCGACCCCCCCCCTTATAAATTAAAAACACTTTTTTTATATTTAACACTATTACAAATGCCGGAGGCGAAGCGGGATTTGAGGTGGAGGCTACAGCTCGTGACCCCCCATGTAATGACCTCATGACCCCCTGAGAGGTCCCTACCCCCAGTTTGAGAAACCCTGCCCTAACACATCTTTGCTTCCTGAATATCCCAAATTATCTTTCCAAAGCATCAAGAGGTACTGGTTTACAAAAATGAACTGTCTCACCATAAAATAACCTAGACATAGTATTCTTAATATATTATGATTACAGGAGAAAGACATTAATGATAGCTTCATAATGTATCTTCATCTCAGCTTCATGGTTTGTTTGGGGTTTTTTGCATAAATTCAAAGTGATGTTCCAATCCATTCAGCCCAAATACATGCTAATAAATAAAACACAGTACCACAGTTTATCTGGAAAAAAAAAAAAAAGAATTTTGCTGAACCAATGTTATAAAGTATCATTTAATATTTAGGCCCCAGTCATACAAAGACTTACACATATGCACTGTCTTTTTGTACCTTTCATTGTCTGTTTCTTTATGAGAAAAAAATTAATCACAAAATCAACATTAAAAACTTTTATTCACCTTTATGTGAGTAGTTCCATTGACTGCAGTGGAATTACCCATAGAGCATAAGTCTATGTAGGATCAGAGCCTTATTTTGTACAAACACTTGTAACAATTGGTTACATGTGGAATCCCTTCCTTTCCAGAGGCTTATTTACTAAATTCTCTGCACCTTCACTATCAGTAATCTCCCTGTTTCTAAAAACATTTCTGGTTTATAATACAGGTGCCTAAAAGATCACATCTTATTAAGTTTTGTTAGCAGTCTGCGTTGTGATCACGGACTTCCTTTTTATCCATTTAGTGCATTTCTAATACTTCAATGAAATTGATCTGTCTTCTTGAAATCGGCACTGTCAGCAACACTATATTTCATCTTTTTGTTTTTTAAAATGTAACTGCTGACAACAGATTTTTGAGTTTATAACTTAACCTTGAGGCCTTGCTCTCAAATGAAACATGGCATATAATATAAAAGGATTTTTAGATATTATTATTCAAAAAGTCCACTTGACTATCTCCAAGATGCGTATGAATGGAAAGCATTTTTAAAGATTTTATACCCCTTTTTTACACTCAAATGGTGAAAAAAATGCATATTCTATGCAATAAATAAAATATCCCCAGCTCTAAGGACCATGACAGTTAAAATAATAATCCCTATAAGAAATAATCAAGAATTTTAAAGATTTTTAATGTATGCATAGCAGATTAATGCTATTAAATACTTTTTATAATATGCTGTGTTGTTTTAACCTTCTTGGTCCCCGGATATTAGAGACACAAGGTTGGTGAGGTAATATCTTTTACTGGACCAAAAGCTAGTCTCTCTCAACAGAAGTTAAACCAATAAAAGATATTACCTCACCCACACTGTTTATAATATTTATTTAATTTTAAAAGATGCTTAACTGAGCGCAGATGTACACCACTAGTGACCAAAGTACAGCTGCAGCTATTGTAATGTTGCCCATTTGGCACCATCATAATTTTATTAACTGCAACCTGTCAGAGTCTCGTACCAATGCTGTTCAAAAAACTCATTGAAAACTAGGCCCATACATAACAGACACGGGCCATGATCTTGGTAAGGGATCCATCCATGTGGGGGTTCGACTGACTTCAATGAGACTTGCAAGGGTGTAGAGTTTATGTGGATGGATGCCTTCCTAGGGCTGAGGCCATAGTCAAACCAGATTACAAACAGATTAGAACAAGGTTACAGATTAAAAGGGAACTGCAGCATCATAATACAGTCCCTCCATGGCATGTCTACAGTGGAAATGCTGCAACTGCACCACTGTAGTGTAGACACTTACGACAACAATGGGAAGAGTTCTTCAGACACTGCAGTAAATCCATCTCTCCAAGAAGCGGTTGCTAAATCAACAAACTAAAAAAATCTTCCATCAACCTAGCACAGTCTACACTGTGGCTTAGGTCAGCTTAACTAAGGCCATGTCTACTTTAGCACCTATGTCAG